GGGGGGGGGTGTTGAGTGATGTGGAAATTAAAAAATTTGATTAAAAAAAAAAACAACAGAAAACAATACAAGCCCAATCCCTCAACTTCAAATAACCATCGATTTCTTAATGTAGGGTTGTAGGGTTGGAGGGGGGGGGAATTTGGGATATTTTTTCTCAAGATCTTCAGTTCTTTTATCCCGTGAATTAACACTTCTCAGCGTCATGACCAAATCCACATTACATGACCTCAAATTACCATACTCGGATTCGTTTTACAGAGTTGCTGTAGATCATAAAGGACAGAAAATTAAAATTCAAAGCACAGTTGCAGTTGCTGGAGACGTGTTTTCAATGATCCCAACGTCTGGTCTACAGCCACAAGAAATATTCTATATTCTATACTGAGAGATTCTTTAGGCGTCTGTTGTGCCTCGTCTCTAGATTCATATTCAAACTGTCGATTTCATTGTCTATTACGGTGGTCTTTAAACACCGGCTAGATTTTCGTTTCTGATGCAATTTCCTTTTCAGATGTCATTGCTGATGCAAATCCTACCAAAATGACCATGACAAGCAGAAGTTCAAAAGTTCCAAGCTCGTGATTTGCAAGACAAGCAGCTTCACTATTCATTGTAGGGTCTTCACGCGATTGAACTCTGAGGGAGATTACGGGAAAATGACAAAATGATCATTGTATTACTCTTGTATCTCCGAATATTGTGTGCAATGGAAATTACGAACAGTGAATTGGCATGACCTTATGAATAAATTATGTTATTATAATAAGAGCTGCGTGCGGGGCCCACTCACGCGCGGGGGCTCGGGTGGTCACTTCGTTCGCCACCCCCGGGTGCGGCCCTGGGCTTGACATTGTCAACAGGGCTATTGGCCGAGAATCACAGATCAGAAAGAAGTAGTGAGAGGATCATAATAAATATTTAAAATAATTTAATTATTAATTTTCCTTTTGCCTGAGACATATCTTTGATACACCTTTACACACATATATTTAAATCATATTTATTTGGATCTCCAAAAGGAATAGCAACGCTACGTAAAACAAAAAATGCGATCCGATAAGTATTTCTATAAAAAGTTTCTTTTCTAATTTTATCAAATTGCCTATCAACCGAAATTTCAACGAGGACTTCAGATGGTTATTGGACTATGCCTATCATCTTCAACGTTCTACAATACAATATTATTGTATCATGTCATAATCTAAAATTTTATTTTGATACTTATTCGCATAATTTTGCTGTTTGCTATTTCCTTTTCCATTAAACTTTAAAATATTCGGTTTCTTTAAAAATCAAAACATCATCCAGTCCAAAGTTATTTGCTCTTTAACCTTGACCCCATCTTATAAACAGAATAAGCATGTATTTATCTTCTGACTTTATTTTTTTTTTCGGTCACTCCGAAGAATAAATAAATGTGGCCACTGATACTAGGCTACTATGTTGGATTAATTGTAACCAAATAATACTAGGTATGTGTTCTCGATGTAACATAACATTTTGGACCAGCTTATTTTATGATGTAGGCCTACGCCCACACTGTCTCAACTGTCTACTGTCTGTCTCTCCTCTGTCTAAGTCTAAGTCTATGTCTATAGTCTATAGTCACTATAGTCTATAGTCTACTAAATGAACAAAAAATTATAATAAATAATTCAACAAAAATGCCACAATTACTATTATTGACAGTAGTATTCAATTTATAAGTGTATATAAGAAGTTTACCTGGACTTACCAACTTACACTGAGTAGGAGTAGAGGACAGTACACACAACACTTCACTGTCACTTTCACTTACTAAACATTGACTAAACATAGACTCAGCAGTGTGTGTGACTAGTGTGAGTTGATCATGCTACTTGAAAACTTCTGAATTAAAAATACTTCCCAAAGTCTCAAGCTTTCACTTTTTATAATTTTAATAAAATCATTCTTTAATTATCACAATTCACATTGTCATAAGTTGACATAAGTCATTGTCATTTTTGATCACAATGTATCAATGTAAATTATTATTAACTACAAACAACTAGTTTATCTCAGAATATCTGAAATCTGATTTGACTATCTCTACTTTCCACTTTACTCTATTAATTCATTACTCTTTTGAGTCATTGTCATTTTTGATCACAATGTATCAATGTAAATTATTATTAACTACAAACAAGTAGTTTATCTCAGAATATCTGAAATCTGATTTGACTATCTCTACTTTCCACTTTACTCTATTAATTCATTACTCTTTTGAGCCATTTGAGTAGCCTAAAATAAACCGATAAATTAGTCCTAGACAACCTACTATTCACCATACCTACTATACTATAGTTATAGGGCTTATATAATAGGCCTATACTAAAGAAGTATTCTTCTCCAGACTTCAGATATTTTGTTTGGTTGGACTGCTTATTAAAAAAACTTTCTAAGTTAATTAAAACTCTTGATTAGACCTAACGTTAATATTTATTTTATGTACAGCAATACCTCACAATAACAGCACAATTGGGACCCGAACTTTGCCATTAATTAAGTGAAAAACCCTGGTAAGTAAATTAAGGCTTTTTTCTACTTTGCGAGTGCCTGCAAGTAAATTTACAAACTATGTACTAATAAATATTAAGTGTGCATTAACACTAACTATAAAACAATGATAGAAAGAAAAAATTACACAATGTTTACCTTAAACTTAAATATTTGTTTAGTACGTACAGTACATAATTTACAACTAAAAAAGAAATAGAAATATTCAATTTTAAATACAAATATTTTTATTTTTGAGGATCGCGGACTCAGATTTAAGAGCGCCAATGTTGTGAAATGCTTTTAAGCGAGTGGCTTTTTTTGCAAGGTGCCACGGCATATACACAAATTAATCAGCCTTTAAAAGTCCTGCATTTTCCTTTTCATTGGGCCTGTAAAAATTATTTAAATAATTGAATGTTTTTTTTCCTAGTTCATTTTCCACTCCAAGTTTAAACTAAAAAGTTACAGATAGCACAGTTAAAACTCTGAAATGGCTAATACTTTAGCAAATGAAGCTCATCAGAGAAGTGTAAGTATGTAATGTAAATTGTGGTAATAAATGAATAATAAGAAGGGGCCTCACGTATATTATTATATATTTTTACAGTTGATACAATTAAGACACATTGTTCTTCTTCTTTTTATTCGACTCATATGTCACAGGAGTGACACCCATTTATTATATGAAGCTAAGATAGCCGACTACTTTCATTGGTGGTAAAGGTTTCTTACTCATGGTTTTCCTCTGCCCCCCACGATAGATGGGCTAACAAATCCATTATAATTAGTTCTATAACTTGGGGCAACCCCCAAAAGTCTGAAGCCTCATAATTCAAATGTGCTATCAGAATAATAGATATATCATTGAAACTCTTACTTCAAACCTGCATTTCATAATTGTGTTGCCTTTACCGTCAATATTTATTTTCTCATAGTAGAAAGCAGTATGTAAAAGTTGCAGATGTCCTAGGAACATTCCAATATGGGTGGGATTGTGTAAATGGTGTTGGTAGGATTATGAAAATGATTGGGGAGAGCATGATATGTTTTAGGGGAAAGCTTTGGTGAAGGGCTTATGGTATTGGTCTGTGGTTGCTGGATCAAGAAATGTTGGATGTGGTTTTTGGGGAAGGGTCAGTGTTGAAGAGGCAGTTAATAGGACGGGGAGAATTGGGGTAGGTGGCAAAAGGTGTAGAAATGGTGGACAAGACGTCGATGGAAGGAGGAATGCTTAGAATTCATGAAACACCTGAACAAGCACATGCAAGACTTCACAATAACTTGTCCAATGTCGTGTGACATCCATTGCATATTTATCCTGGTTGGACTATCTAGCTTTCTTAAAGGATGTTAGTTTTAATTAGTATTCATATTAATAATTCAAAGCATGTTTCAAATTGAACCTGTTTTTGTTTTCAGTTAAAAGATTTCCTCACCCTTTACAACACAATAACAGAATACTGTTTTAGCAAATGTATATCAAATTTTAATGAACGAAGTCCATCAGTCAATGAGGTAATTTTACATTTATTCTAAATTAAATTTATGACTTATGAATTTAAATTTAAAATAAAAAATTTGTTAGGAATTAAATTTTTATTTGATTGCTAATACAAATAGTAATAGAATATTTTAAACAAAATTATTAGTGTTTGTATGTGTCACATGGGTGTAGGTTCAACTACACTGCCCTTTAAATTAATCATAGACAACTACTTGTTTTGTAATTTTTATTCTGTATACAAAAATTTAAATTTTTTTATCTTACAAAATGTAGACAGTTAACGCTCTTAGATGTTTGTTTGCTTTTAAGTACAAGCAACATACACACAAAATTAATAATCACAACAAAAAAAAAATAAATCTATTGTTCTTTCCCAGACTTCGTGTGTTGAAACATGCACAGACAACTATGTCCAGTATAACCAGAGATTTATGTTCAACTTTGTTGACCATCAAGAGAGGAGAAAGAGGGACCTTGAAAGTGCAGCCGTTGAGGCAGCCAATAAAGAAGCTGCAGTTGCACAAGATGCACAGACATTGGAATTGTCTGTGGCACAGGAACAAAATATTCAGCAGGCAGCCCAATTGTTAGAGTCAATGAGTTCATCCCCTGCAAATTCAGAGTTCAGTGTTGAAACCAGGACAGGATCTACAGACCATCCGTATCAGGCATCACACCAATCACAGTTATCTGTAGATTCTCCTAAAAATTCTGCCAGTAACACATAATGTTATATCATTTCAGAAATATTACCTGATTGTCATTCAAGCCCAGACTTGCACTAAGTTTTAAAAAAAATAAATAATTTATTTTGATACATTTGAACTAAGGTTACCAGACCACTAAGATTCTCAAACACACATTTAAAGAAGGGTGCTAATCAAGGCAATCTTAATAATAAAAGTTAATTTTTCTATGAACATAATCATATGAAGTTCAAGACTTTCACATCTTAGTTTTAAGAATCACCATCCTTTGTTTTTTTTTAAATGCGGTAGTCTATCCTAAAAAGTAAAATTAAATAATTTTGTGCAGTCTCTTCTAAAGAAGTAAATATTGATTATTGTATCCTGCAGCTATTTGACAAATTCCTTCTAAAATTAAGAAACTAACTTTATTTATGTCTTAGTAATTATTGTAGGTGTCAGACTTTTATTGAAAATAGTTTTTATGTCATTTTACAGTTTATTAAAAGACAAAGAATAAAATAACTCATCAGTTTGTATTTTATTTTACAAACACTTGTTGAAGTAAACTATAAAATTATACTTGTCTTAAGATTCATATTCCTGCAGACTGGGGTTACTTGGCCATTTTCCCCAAACACCATTTAGGAATAAGGTCTTCTTAAGTAGTCATTAGTGCATTGATTTGCCATGACTTCAACTTTCACTTTATGAAACAGAGGGTACTGATTAACTATCAAAAGAAAAAAAGATAGTTACTCACCTTTGCTTTTGTTTGAAATGATTTAATAATTGATCTCATCGAGAGTACAATCTATGGCACAGTTTTAATTAAAATTATGAAAATCTATACACGAGCAGTACATGAATAAATAAATGTGTTGAATGCTCGATAATTAAAATACAAAATGTAGTGTTGTACATATAGATATATATATAACTTTTATTTAATCTAAGTCAAGAGCAGTTGGACAAGAAGTCAATTATTTTTCAGTTAACTCATTTTTAATTTGTATAACAAAGACATTTTTTGTGTGCATAATATCGAGTCATAAGCATTAGATATTTGAAACTAGAAACTTTTTTTTTGCACCCCAATGTGCATCCCAGACATTTTTAGCATGAAACGTATATCTAATAAATCGAGCAGACAGGTATGAATCCTGAAAACAACTATCGCGCACATAGCGACCCCATAACTGGAGCTGTATGCTAAACGCTACCCTAGTACTTCAGCTGTCAAGAAAGATCAACATACAGGTCATGGGTTAATTCTTAACATTTTTACTGATGTCATTTCTTTGTTTTCATAACCTTGCAATGACATCACTTCTTTTGTATGTGACAGAACCTTGCTATTGTTTGGTGTCAAGTTAGATGATTTAGAAGACAATGAAAATGTGGGCACCAAAAAAAAAAACATGCCTAGTTTGCCTCTGATTAGTTTGATATGAACAGATGTTTAACATCCTTGCAAAGCTGACCTCCTTGGTAGGCTGTTTCTTTGCACTTCAAAGTTTTGAACAAATGGAAGAACTCATGTATACAGGCATGCAAGATGCTGTATTTGTATATTGCCTGTGCGCCTTATGAAAGGCTTTCAGAATATATCAAACTCCTCCAATAAAGGCTTTTGAAAATGTGATTGGCATACATAGATAAATAGTAATACATAATGCTATCAGTTCCAAATGTAAACATCAAACAAATGCCATTTTGAAATAATCTGACTGAACAAAATAACATATCTTCAATTAATTTCTTTAAAACTAATGTAAGCTTTTATAAAAATATCAATTTGGTGGGCGAAACAAAAGAAGTTCTGTTCCATTCACTTGCCTAGATTACCATTTTTGTATCGAAAAACAACTAAATGTTTAAAAAAACAAATTATAGAATAAAGGCTTCACATCAAAATAAATAAATCTGCAAATCACAACCGCACACTCTCTGTTATCACATCTGGAACTGGTTTAGTTTTCCGTTTCACTGAGAGGCGCCGCAAAACATTGCCTCGACGAATTTCATTGACAAGGTTGTCCACAATACGTGCATCACCGGTTCCGGCCACACCTGGCAGGAGCCTTGCACCTGGTGGGAGAGCTACAGGCTCCTTATGGGCACCTGAAAGATGAAATATAGGCTTAATGAAGAATGCTTGGCAAACGATAAACTAAAGTATTTCATAGCAGGAGAAATCAGATAAGCGGTTTAGTTTATTTAGAATCTTCTTGATATGCTTACATAGGTTCAAATAGCATGATCCAAAAGTATATTTTTCATGACTTATAATTTGTGAGCTCACTGAGAATATTTGTAACAAAATTGCTAAAAAAACGATTGTGATCTAAAATCTTTAAATTAAAAAAATTTTTTTAAGACAAATAAATTGGCACTACTTGCATAAATACATACAATAAAATATATCTTATCAATTATAAATAAAGGTATAGAAAAAGTTGATACATATTATGCAAGGTTAAAAATTCACAAAACTGATTTTTAGCACTGCAGTCAATAGAATTGGGGCTCAAGCTAGGGACACAAGCAGTGCAATTGACTAAGAAATTAGAAATAGTCATTTTTTTTTAAAAAGGGGTTGTCATAGGGCAGAGGTCGGCAAACTCAGTCAAAAGAGCCAAAAAATCAGCAGCAGGATGTTTATAAACTTTTTGAGAGCCAAATTTCTTTTCAATAACCTGTCCAGAACCACGTTTTTCAGAGTCGGTTTAAGCTAGCTACTAAAGATTAAGTACAACCAGTTATAATAATAATACTCTTATTTACCCACAAAAAATAAAAAATGCGCATTTAACATAAAATTCAACCAGATATAATAGTAATGTTATTGACAAAAAATACTTCTTTGTAGCCATGTCAACTAAAAACTTTCATTTTATAACAATAGAAACTGCAACAAAAAATTGTAACAACCTATTAAATTGATGCCAAAAATAACTGTGAGATCTGCCGTTGGTTGAAAGATACAACTATGTGGCTTAATATGCCAAGGAGGTATTCTTGTCGCTTGCGAGAGGTTTTTCGGCACGCCAGGCACTACTAACCAGTGTACACACTGACAGATTAAAAACATTTCGTTTTTATAACAATAAAAGCAGCAATACAATGTTATAACAACCTATTAAATTGATGCCAAAAATAACTGTGAGATCTGCAGCTGGTAGAAAGATACAATATGTAGCTTAATGTGCAGAGTACTCTCGTGGATTGCATGAGACTTTTCAACATGCCAGGCACTAACAAGCTTATGTACACTATGAAGAACAAGCTGTGACTGGCTGGCTCTCGCCATGCTATCGCTCAACTCATGTTATCCTTTATAAACAAAATATAGCTAGATTTATGGGGGGCTCATTAGTGGATAAAACAAACGACTTAATTTTTATTTTCAAAAAAGCTTAACAACATACTGCTGTTGCAGAAATTTTCATTGGACTTTCATATTTTGCAATGATTTTTTTTGGTATTGTAAGAACAGTATATATAAGGCAAGTCACTATTGCTATCATCATCCCACTTTTGCTCAAATATGAAAACGTTTCCAGTGCAGGGAAGTGCCATCAGCCATTAGCTTTGGTGCAGCCAGAACAAAGTTTTAGGAGGAAAAAAAATGAATAATTTGGTTGCATGCTTTATGATAAAACTTACTCTTTCGCTTTTCCAACAACTCCTCATGAGCTTTCTTTCTCATTTCAGCTTTTTCTGCTTGTTGACGCCATGACTCCAATTCCTTTGAGAAAATAAAGACATAATTTTATTAAAGAAAAAAAAAATTTGGCAGAAATTTGAAGATTTCAAATAAGATTTTCCTATGTCAAAGAAACAAAAAAATTAATAAAAATCTATGTAATTATGCATATCTGACTCTTCATCTAAATGCAAACTAATAAAACTGATGTTCAATAATAGATTCTGCATACAATTTACTATGTTCAACACAATGCTGCCTCATACAGATTAAAATAATATTATAATTAATTTTTCTATAAGTTTACTAGTTTTAAAGAATCTTTCATACTTTCGACAGCCAGGCATTCAATGAATACATGAATCAAAAGCAACAATAAAAAATAAATTTTTTTTTTAGTATAATTTGATAATATCATCCAGCCTTGTAGTATGTTAAGAGGCCTGAAGCGGTGCAACTTAAAAACAGCATTCCCAAAACTCATGAAAAATTGAAGAAAATAGAAAAAGAGAATAAATTAAATAAGGATCCCTCCTGCGAAGTGGAAACTTTGTGCTCGTCCATCACACATAATTGGTAGCAAAGTTTGAGAGGCACTGTCTTAAAAAGTGTCACAAAGTGGATTTAAGCCTTGCTAACTGTTAAGACTAACGGTAAAAAATCAATACATTCCTAAGCTCTCACAAGACAGGATAATGTTCACTTCATCAAGCTGATTTATTCAACGAAAGTGGAACAAGGTAACATATTCCTGTCACATACAAAAGAAGTGATGTCAACTGGCTGCAAAAGAAATGTTTCCAGGGTTGTAAAAGAAAGTATGCATCTAGAGTTGTTAAAGAAATTATGTCTCTTGGGATGCTAAAGAAATAATGTCTCTTGGGTTGCTAAAGAAATAATGTCTCTTGGGTTGCTAAAGAAATGATGTCTCTTGGGATGCTAAAGAAATGATGTCTCTTGGGAGGTCAAAGAAATGATGCCTCCTAGGTTGTAAAAGAAAGGTATGTCTCTTGGGATGCTAAAGAAATAATGTCTCTTGGGTTGCTAAAGAAATGATGTCTCTTGGGAGGTCAAAGAAATGATGCCTCCTTGGTTGTAAAAGAAAGGTATGTCTCTTGGGATGCTAAAGAAATGATGTCTCTTGGGAGGTCAAAGAAATGATGCCTCCTTGGTTGTAAAAGAAAGGTATGTCTCTTGGGATGCTAAAGAAATAATGTCTCTTGGGTTGCTAAAGAAATGATGTCTCTTGGGAGGTCAAAGAAATGATGCCTCCTTGGTTGTAAAAGAAAGGTATGTCTCTTGGGATGCTAAAGAAATGATGTCTCTTGGGAGGTCAAAGAAATGATGCCTCCTTGGTTGTAAAAGAAAGGTATGTCTCTTGGGATGCTAAAGAAATGATGTCTCTTGGGAGGTCAAAGAAATGATGCCTCCTTGGTTGTAAAAGAAAGGTATGTCTCTTGGGATGCTAAAGAAATAATGTCTCTTGGGAGGTCAAAGAAATGATGCCTCCTTGGTTGTAAAAGAAAGGTATGTCTCTTGGGATGCTAAAGAAATAATGTCTCTTGGGTTACTAAAGAAATGTCTGGTGGATGGTGAAATTAATGATGTCTGGTGGTGGAGATTTACCTGCTGGCATGCCTTGACCCTTTCACAAAATTCCCTGAATGCACCAAGAAACTCCTCAAGATTAAATGAGTTCTCATTCTCACAGTAATGCTGGGCCAGCTTCGTGGTCTGCTTTGAAAGACGGTCTAGAGTTTCATCAATGTCTGATAAGTCACCATCAGCTTCCTATGTAAAAATGTATCACCATGTAATGTGAGACCAAGTTTCAAAACACTGTGATGTGACCGCTGATAATTTTAATTATGAAGTTATTTTTTTGAAAAATATTTTATTTTATTGGTAAAAA